CATGTCTGAGATGTGACCTTGTAGCCACCAGTCTCCCCTCCTCCCCTGAAGACTTCCGCACAGGTTGTCGAAACGTCAGTCACTACCATCGACAACAGTCCTTCTCAGGACTACACTCACCCGGACGATCAGACTACACCTTCACATGTTACCCACGGGTTCAAACCATTTACTGCAAAGCAGCACCTAGGTGGTGAAATGAGATACTACTGAGGAAATTTCATCTTGAAAACAAAGCAATCATATTCTCATTTAATGAACGTTTCTAGGGAAGCTTTCAATTCGTTTGGGATCATGTTCATCATTCATTCTGATAGACTAACGGATCTTGTGGCTTTCTCATAAGACGTCCATTGAACCCTACGTCACAGAAACATTTACAAGAAAAGAGCAGCCATTTCAAAATCCAGTTAACGGGCAAACAGAATATTTGGCCTGAGGTATCAAAGGCCTCTAAAATCTATTAGAAGGGTCTTCGAAACGGTATGCTCTCCTTAAAAAACAAAACTCCTTGTAACTCATTCTTTATTACGTGGACATTAATGTCCACTCCACTTAATGTACAGATCTCTTCACAAGAAAATCCTGTCTTTGTTGCTGTTTTCTTTCGAATTTTTCCGTTATCTATTCATTTGTTTGCTTATGTTTGAAGGAAATATAAAATCAGCCATCAATATTTCTTTGGTACGGTGAAACAATACCAGACTGCAGAACAAGGTTCAGCTAAAAAAGTGCGATGCAGTATAGAATAATTCAAATAATTAATTAAACTATTCCACTTTTGTTAACGCTACAACTCAGCGCCGATAAAACATATTATTATTTTCCTTTCCGTACAATGATTTTACATGGGATGAGATTATTTTTTCCTTTAAGTTAGGTAGAAATTAATTTAGTCGATTGAGTCGGACTCCGTAATCAATTATGTGCACACGTGACTGCATGGTGCCAGCAATGACCTTTTATAATAGAGGGTGACATACCATAAATATGATTTCGTGACACAAAATTACACATGTAAGTGTTGGGTGGAATCAGTCTTTCGGTTTCGTAGTCTTGGCATAAAGCGAACTCTCAGTCATGTATAAGGTCCTGTTGATCCTTCAACATTTTCTAGCAGCCTTTGTTATCATTCCTACAGCAGGTAAGACTTGTTTGCACGAATTTGTGTCCGTTTTGTGTCCAGGAGAGGATCCTTTAAGCAATAACCACGTAGAAATGGCGGAAGTTAATGCTCTGAATGAGTATTATAACTGCAACGCTGAAGGGTGACAATCATTTCTGTGAAAACGCGTCAGGTCATGCGATCATCCAGTCCTCTTCCAGCTAAACATAAATTCATATTGAGTGAAAACCATGTACGAGCACCATGTGGTTTTACTTGGTTCTATTCAATTAACGTCATGATCTACACAAATTGGTTTAATGAATGTCTCAGGATTATATTGTTAAACACTAAATTTCCCTTTAAGAAAGTTTCTATTGAAGCTTTGGGTTTGTTCGGGTTAGTAATTGTATTGTGACAGACTAAAGGAATCTTTTTGGTTTCACATAAAGCGTCCATTGAGCCTTACGTCACTGGCACGTATTCGTCAGTCTGACATTTCTTTCACAACTTAATGCGGTGAAATATCAGACCACAGAAAAAAGTCTTACTACTGGAATACTGCAGTTTAGTACACAACAGTACACCGCATATGTGCCGGCGTGAAGTTGAGCTTCTTTCCTGGCAGGTCTAGCTGTAAACGCCAGAAAGTTGCCNTCGGAAATTTCTTTTGACTTGATCTATAATGAAGCGAAAGCACTCGAATTTCTAATGTTAATTAGAGATCGCAGAGACTTTTTCTCGAAAAAGCGTAATTTTCTAAAAAAGACGCAAAATACTCGATGGACAGCAGTGCAACTAGTTTTGAATTTTAAATGATAATGAGGTCACAAAAAGAATGATGATGAGGTACGAACAATCAGAATATCTTTCATGTGGAGTTACGTGGCATGAGCAAAGAAAGCCCATTGGTCGATTGGTCTGACACCAATCGCGATTGACTTGGTCTCAGAAAAAGTCCGGGACGATCATCAAACTAGCTATAGAGCAATGACAGCATTAATTTGATGTTCAGTTTCCTGCAGCGGAAAACTGTGAATGTGCCTCTCTATAGAGGGATAGAGTGCCAGTCAACTGTCGCTTGATGATGCATAAAGTCATTGCTTTCTAGAAGTGAGCCGAACTCGTTTATATCAGACAGAGTCGTCCTGAGATGAGAGAAAAACGCGAATGATCTGTCTTACCCTTTGCTTTTTCTTGCCTTTTTGTTTGTTTGTTTTTTTGCATCTGCACCCATACCCAGTTAATTAAAAACAAAAATGACGAGAAAACTGGATTGCATGAAAACCTCAACACGAAAAGGGAGCATTGTATTACAACGGTATAAAGTTAACGAAACGTTCTTGAAATTTCATTTGTATCATTATCATTCCATAAAGCATATGATGAGCTAAATAAATACGCAGAATAAGTTTCGTGTCATACACACTGTAATACTTAGAGAATTCATTTAGATATTTAGCTGCGTGCATGATCAGAGCAAAGGCTCACTCTAGTTGTTTATTTTACAAGTATGATTATAATAAATTCTAGTTTAAAATCTATTTTCAGAGTTTATCATTTCCAAAATATTGCTGAAATATCTATCATTTAGCTTGCACCTGTTAGCCATTAACTGCTTGCATGTGTTCAACTGCTGCATGATACACCGCCACTAGTTGCTCAAACTAGTTTACCCCACCGTAAACTGTTCACTGTCTTTCTGCTGTAGATGCAACCATTAAATGGACTCTTCCCTCTCCACAACGTGGCCCACTTAATAATACAGACAACTCAGTTCGAAAAACAGTCAAAGAATTAGATGGTGGATCTCCTGAGTCAC